GAGGGTATGGTTTATTGTGAGGAAGTGAAAGAGAAGGGGGGGGGGGGGGGGGAGAGGGGGGGCTAAATGACATTTAAATGACTTTTGGACATGTTTCCATTTATTTCCAAATTTCTTTAATTTTTTTAAATGTTATTGTAAAATCTCAATCAATCAATTCAGATTTGTTTGATAATAATAATCACAATTATTCATGATTATTCATTAAGAATTTACAGATTTGATTGGTCAGATTAAAAAACTAAATGTTTGACAGATTTTTATTTTCATTAACATTTTTATTTATACACTCGTTGGCTGCCTGGGTGTCGTCTGAGTCTCTCAGGACAGTAAAGGTATAAAGACATTGTCAAAGTGAGAGCAAAAACTACAGGAAATGGAGGAGGAAACTGACAGTTAGGAGACAAAAATAGACAAGGAAATAGAAGAGCCTGAAGGGATTTTTTAGTTCTACAAAAGGCACCACCAGAGGGCAAATGACAAACAATGGGCTCCCCGACGGAGGCAGGTCACCTGTCAGACGGAAGGTGGGAAATGACAGGGAAATGAACTGAGGAGACACCTGGGCTTTTGACGGGGAAGAAAGGTGGCGTCTCCAGAGTGCTCTTAACGGACAGTGTGACAAAAGAGGAACGTTTTAAGAACGTAAATCAGAGCAGAGGAGACGATGAGCTCTTTGAGGGAGGAGATGAGAAAATTATTAAAGTACCACTTCAAGTCTCCTCCTGATGGAGGAGAGAAGAGGAGAGAAGGTTCAGAGAGTCGGAAATTAGGTGAAATTAGATCAGACAGACCAACGGTGAGTACAATACAGGTTCAAAATAGTACATGACTCTATGAATACTGAAGAACCACCCAATATAAAATAGATTTGGAGTGGAAGTCTCAGACGTATTATGCCCAAGTGTAATTCCAACAGTTTCCACAAGGGGATAACTGCAGAATTCCTTATTATCACCTTTAAAACGTACACACGTAGAGACAACCATCACACTCACGATGATTAACTCAGTGTTTGTGAAACTGAAGTTCCACAAAAAACATCGAGGAGAAAGTACATGCTCTTTGCATAATGAATTTTTTTTTTTTTTTACTCACGTCTGACGCCGGCCCTTTATCAGCACCTGGACAGGAGAAGGTGACGAACTCATGGCAACGTTTGTGAACCACGAAACAACACACTGTGGAGAAAAGAGCACAGAATTTATCATTTATCACAGAGAAGTTTAGTGTTTTAACTCTACTGTATCTGTATGTGGAATTGAATTTTTATTATATATAAATATATACTGATAGATGCCTTTGTTTGTTTGTTTGTTTTTATTAAAATCTAACAGATTTTACAACAACTGAGAATGACATTCATTGGCTGTACAGCACATCTGATAAACAAATCAAACGTCTCCACGTCCGCTGCCGAGGCATCGTTCTCAAACGGACGTTAGTGTAAAAGTTGAATTTTTAGTCTTGGCGTCTAATCTGTGAGACACGAAGGTTCATTTACATATGAAAGCATCGAGGGGTTGGGCAAAAAAAAAAAGAAGAATGTACATATAATACTGTGCTTCTCTCTGATCGCCCACACACACTTATTGTCACTGCTGCAATGTTGACTCAGCCGCCGTGAATAACAGCACTTTTCTACAACATAATGGAAAAAAACACAACCTCGGAAGTTCTTGTGTGCAAACTTTTTGGTCGACAACAATTAACGGAATGGAAAGCAGCATTTACACAGCCGTCTGTAGCTACGTAACATCACAGTGATGGGACATCACAGTAACAGTAACACACACACTAACATACATTTACACACATGCATGACACAAATGGCTACTGCAAATATAAATATTATTATCATGTCGTAAAACTTTACAAAAACCTTCTATCTTCTCACTGTACTTCCAACATACCAATTCATTCCTTATTATACAAGATTGTCAGTTTACAGATTTTCCTGCAGCTAATTTTTCTTGTTTCCTTCTGGTCCTAAATTACTCTGGCGCCCTCTAGTGGAAAAGTAACTCACACTTTGAAAACCACCTAGCTAGAGAACGTGAACATTGAATAACTTGTCTTGTGGTGACAATCATTTATGTCATTTATCAAACCACAGTTAGAGAGAGAGAATGAGAGAGAGAGAGAGAGAGAGAGAGAGAGAGATGCTAGAGGTATAAGAAAAGTGAGAGACGAAATATTATTTTACTAAGAGGAAATATTTAACAATTCCTCAGTGAATCAGTTTAAATCCCAGCAGTGTTGAGTCTGATTGGAATCTTGCTTTTTTTCCCCACCCATTAGCAGAGATTTATCGTAGATACCAAATACACACATCTGACAGGAAGATCAAACACAGTCTGTTCAATCAGCGTCTCAACACCGCGCCATCGCTCTTCAGGTTGGTAACAGTCAGCAGCGGTGCAGAGACATGTCAAGGCCCCGGTGTACGAGGCGAGGTGCGCGGAGGAGGCTAAAAATCCCTCAAAGTCTCCCACATGTACACAGACGCTGCCCCTGAGTGCATTTACACAGAGCGCTGAGATGAGCTGCAAATGCAGCGTGTAATCCTGCAGAGATTAGGATGTTGACTGCGGCGAGAACCAAGGAAAATGTAAGGACAAATACTTAGATTTTTGATTTTTAAAACTGCAGGGCTGTGGAGATAAGAAATCCATGACAGATTAACATGTTTTAATCGTTTTTCATTTTATTTGAAGTATTTTTTTTACTATTTTTAAAGCCACTAAATCCAAGCCTGAACTTAATATTGAGCTCAAGACAAAAAAAAAAAACCAAAACATCGACGCAGGAAAAGCAATCAGATAATGTCGCAGTATTTCTTTACTTTTCCACACATCCACTGAGTGTTGCCGGGGCGTCGGTGCTAATCACATACCGACCTTGGACACAAACACTTCACACCTACGGGCAGCTCAGAGTCTCAGTTAAACTGAACCCAATCTGCATGTCTTCAAACCGTGGGAGGAAACAGCAGGAAAATGAAAAATAAAATAAAAACTGTTGTTGTTTCTGATTGCAGGACGTTTTTTTTTTGTTTTGTTTGTTTGTTTTGGGTAGAGATACAGCGTTGATTCCTGAAGAGCTCTCCTAACAAACCGTTTCCTCTCCTGACGGTTCCCTGGAACCAGAACACGACCAGTCAAAATCACTGACTTCATGTGTAAAAAGCTGAGCAGCTTTTTACACATGAAGACCACACACACACACACACACATTTCACACTGCCGTTCCGTCCTGTCCTCAGTACTCTTGCATGTGTGTATTCACTTACTGTACTCAGGCGTGATAAGACGCACTCACACACACACACGTGTGCACACACACACACAGAGAGAGCAAATCCCGAACACCTTAATAGCACTTTACTCCCACGCAATATCCTCTCGCTTTGGTAACAACACCCACCGACTGGGGTGATATCATATGAAATCATACACACACATACACACACACACACACACACACACACACACACAAAGAGCACCCACACATTCCGGTATGATCTGTGATCTCAGATTGAATATAAAGGGCGCAGGGATGAAAGTGAGGATTCAAATGCTAATGGCTGCTGTGACTGCTGATCTTTAGCAGAACCGGTTCTGTCAAATCCTCTGACATCATCCTCACCACTTCATTACAGTCTATACAGCATAATACAAACAACAACTACAACCCCCCACCCCCCGCCCGCCCCCACCACAGAAAAACACTCAATGGAATTAAAAGAAGCAGCTGAGCTAACCTTCAGGAGCTGGACGGACAACAGGCTCTGAGAAGCCACAATACACCGCTAAGATTCCTAGAAATATAAGGAATTATTTCCCAAGATGACAAGTAACGGCCATGATATGACGACCCATCTTTGCCCGTGAGCCTGTGTTTGATGCTCCTTTCTAAAACAATCTTGTTAGACAGAAAAGTCATCCTGTTCACACCACGTCTTGAATTTCTTTTCATGTATTTTCAGAAAGACAGAATACTTTTCCAGAAAGGCTTTTTGCATTTCCCCCCTGAGCATTGTGGGTAAAGAGCATTTAAATGAATTGAGTTGTTTTTACTGTTTTTTCTTAGATCTTTCTCTGGCTTCACTCCTTCACCTTTTTGGGAGGATAATGAGGAACAAACAGTGAGTTTGTTTTTGATTTTCCGTCTTTTCCTCGTCACCTCTTCCCTCTCCTCGTGAGCCATTCCGACCTTCTGACTTCCATCCATCCTTTCATCCAACCCCCCAACCACGATTCTCTATTATTTATTGTTAGAGTTGAATATTTTTGAATACTAACTTCTCTTTTTGTCATTTGTTTTTAACTTCCTGTCTCTCACTGAATTATTTTATTGTTCGCTTTGATTCAGGTTTAAATCGTTGCTCACTAATGTTGAGAGGTTTTTTTTTGCAAGCGATAACATGTTTCAAGAGCAATATTTTCAAGGCTTTTCATATATATATATGTTTATATATATATAAACCAAATGTAAATGAGACTAAAACTGACCGGACAGATCAAAGAACGGCCTCTCATTCGTTTTTCAGGAAATGTTACATTTGAAGCTGCAGTTGTAAAAAAAACCAACATAATTTGGACACAGAAAATGAAGAAGAGTATTTCTGAATACTACAGTGACATCACTGAGGGACAAAAACACTTAAATCTGTCCAATAATCAAATCATATTCTCCTGATCCATTCCAGATCCAAACCGTCTGAAAAACTGTCACGCGTCGCGCTGAATGAAAAGTCATTTGTGAGGCTCCTTGACTCGACTGCTTCACATTCATACAGTTACATTTATACAGTATTTATAGCTGCATCCAGGCGCTCTACTGTATCTCCTGTCCCGTGCTGCTTTGATCACATGATGTCATTATGTAACAACCGGTTGTCAATCAATAGTCTCCTGCCATCAGACCATGTTTGAGGGAGGAGGGGAAGCCAACGCTTACACAACAACACAACAGATGTTCACATCACACATGGAAGAAAAAAAAATCAATGTCTTTTCATTTTCAAAACCAACATCAATAATAATAATAATAATTTTATTAAAAAATGAAGGATTTTCCATATGGGCGTGACGCTGTTCTCTAATCCTCTTGAATTCCTTCCTCCTATAATTCATTACCTAATTGATGGTCCATTAAACTCGTTCCACAAAACCCCTTCTTCTCGCTGCTCCCTTCTCTTCCAGCATCTGTTTATGTAATGTTGACAGAACAAGCCTCTCCCTCTAATGAGCTGCCAGTGTGTGTTCTCTCCTGTCTGTGCAGCAGAGATGCAGTGACACATGGTACACTGACGTCCCAGATTCAGGAGCTGTGTTCATGCTGCCACACATGCTCTCCGGGTACTGTAGTAATATTTATTCATGTATGGTGGCTGCAGTATTTTTACACACGCTCACAGACACATACACGTACAGTAACAGAAAGCCATGGTCTTATCCAGATGAAGGCCCGAGGTCACGGAGGTCACTAATAAGAGACTACAGTTACAGTCCAATCCAGTCTTCCTTTAGTCAAACAGCTTGATTATAAACCAATCAGCTTCCTTAAATCAATCTGACTGAGACTTGAAGTCCATCTCCACCCAGTAAATATCTGAGACATATTGTTGGAACAATCACTGAATCACAATCACAAACCAACCGTTCAAAATAGACGTCGACCAACGTTTTGTTGCGCGCCGTTAAATCACTGCAGGATTCATTTCCAGACAATTGACCGGTGGTAAAAAAAAAAAGGTAAAAACAAACCCTAGGTGTCAGTATGAGCATCTGGTCTGATACTCCGAAAACATGTACCAATACTCCATACAGCTTTTCACTACTACGATCAACGATGTCAGCAGTTTGGAGGTAATTTAACCTGAACACACACCTGAGCCTTAAATGTACAGTATGGCAATTTCTCTTCTCACTTCAACCGTGCAGGTCATCACTTTGTCCACAGGAGACGGTCAGTTCGACCGCACGACTGGTGAAAAGCTCTGCTCACTTTCTGTTCAGTTAACCATGTGAAAGATACTGATTCTCTGACTTCTTGTTTTTCCTGCTGCCTGAGTCAAGAGGAACCAGGATGAAACAGCGCTGACGCTGATGACGGTGATCAAAATAGAGAACCACAGGAGCCTGATGATGGAGCGAGGAAGGCAAGAAAAAAGTCA